TTCTCAATTAGAGAGATGAGTAGGCTCAGTTCGCTTGTTGAGTAAGGAAGTCGGTCATATTGCTGTCCTTCTGACAATGCCAGACCTTGCATGACTAAGCTTATCTGCCAAAAAGGTGCCAAATTCGTTTAGGAAGCTCCATTGCACACTTCCTGATCCAAGCCCATTCAGTGTACCGCTTCTCTTAACCCCGATGACCTATGAAAACTTAGATAGTCAGAAAAAGCTGTAAAGCGATTTATGCGTTCGCTGGAATTGCAGCCAACAGTGTTCCGGACTTTTAAAATGACAGCCTATTGAAGTGTTGGACACAGGTGGCGGTTCGTGATCGTCATTACTGTGTTGATTGATATCAATGAACAATGGTTGTAATTGACTGGAAGTATTCCAATTAAGACGTGGTGGGGAAAGTTCCAGCTGTCTTTTGAATGCTTGCTTTTGAAGCGATTTTTGCCAAAGGGCCATAAAGCAACTGATTTAGCAATTGCAACTGTTTCAAAGGGCTTCGAATAGTCTACATGCATTATTGACAGTTGCTTTGAGCCCCAACTTTTTCCTAGGCTCAAGCTTTCGAAAAAGACGGTAAGAAAACAACAATTTCAGAAAACGCTGCTCAGAAAATGGTCAAAAAGTCATGCAATCTATTTCGTCGATTTGCACCTTGCTTGGAGGGGATACTACAGTTGCGAGGACTTCTTAGGATTGGTTTGCTAACGTTAAAGGCAGTTGGCACGATAAATTCCTCAAGACGAGTAGGATTCAATACGCCTGGCAGGACGGAATTCCGCGACCCTGAGCAGGCGCTGCATAGCGGTTTTTCCTAGGAAGGTACCCTTATAAGGGCCCTATCAAGCCACAACATTCCGACCCAAACGCCCGCCCGCCCACAAATGGACGACCGTTCCTGACGCTCGTATTGATTCATTTGCTAAGCAAATTATGAAGCGAAGGGATTGGTATGAAGCGGCGGCGGTGCTGCATGGATATATGAGTACACACATGCAGCCGTATCTTCGGTAGCGGTTATTGGCAAGATGCCTATGGGAAACTCGTCCGAAATCGATTTTCAAGTCACTGAGAACGGAGGCTTTTTCTTCGCAGGATTTTGACCGTTTCACTCCGTTCTTTCGCCATTTTCACTATATAGCGCCCTATTAGGCGAATGTGGCACAGCTGGACCTGCTATCTCGCGCCCTGCTCACATTTTAAGCCGAGTACCAAATTATCGTGCCAACTGCCTTCGAGATCAGTAGTTTCCAACTGGGTAGCATGCCCCCTTCCTGTTCGCGTCTTGATTAGATTGGGAGGGTTCATTACCCAGCGTGCTGAGAAAGGACCATTTGGTCTACAAGAGCCTAGTAAGTGTACTTCATCGAAGAAACGAGGTCATTCAAATAAATAATTAGACCCTCAGATAATGCTGAATCTTCCTGCACCACAAAAGGCGAGACTCTACACTGCAGAGGTCGTCAGGACTACCCCATAGAAAACCCGATTGCCAGTATATGCAGCACCCAGTGTGCTCTCCAACGCTTCAACGAAATATCACTTTTTCACTACCTCAAACGAATGTTGGGTATAATCAGCGAAAACGACCACTCATCTTTTCCGGAGTAAATTATCTGCAACAATATTTGGTTCAAGGGCATACTACTAGATGGATCTACAGCAGAAAATCGCTGCGAAAACAAGAAACTTAAAAAAACGGCTTGAACTTTACATCAATCTGATATTTTGGCGCGTCGCCAACAAAGAGGGTATAGTATAGCACGTGTAAAACGGAGGAACTCGAGAAACGGTCGGAGGGACTCGAGAAAGGGCAACAAAGCCGGAAAAGTTGCTCTTCGAAGCCAAACAGTTTATCAGCAGAGACCCAAATACGACCCTCTCATGGGTTTTCGCTCAATGATAAGTAAAGGCTTTTTCTCGCTTGTCGCAAGGTATTTTCCAGAGACGAGCGACTGTAACAGATTCAGAATTCGGATTTGGAGAGCAGCCGTACATTAGGGCGATTACATTATTATTATTATCTTAAGGAAAACTTCCGTTGAATACACCCTCTCTCTTCTGACCCAATATAACCCCGTTGGGTTCCGCGCAACAGAGATTCGCCTTTCTCAGAATATCTACGTAACCCGCCGGGGCGTAAAACAAAGATCGCAAATGCTTATCGCCATGGCTATTTATAATTTCGTTCTTAACCTGGCCTTCCTTCGAGCACTCAGGTCCTGATAAATAACAGTTTGTAAACAAGGTGAAACCAAGGCAAAGTGAAAAAGGAGTTCGCGGAACGTGAGCAAAGAATGACAAGGAACAAGCTGAGTGCATAATCCTGGAAGGAAGCCCTCCCAGTGGCATTGGGTGCCAGAATGTGTTCATTGGTAATGAAAGGAAAGTAAGTGATAAGAAGGGTCAGCCGGAACATAGCAACCCTTCTTGATAACCTTCGTCGACAAAAAATGGTGCCCAAACACCGTTGAATCATCTTAATAGTTTATTCGCCTTAACATTTAACTCCTATCTACAACTCGAGATCAACAACGATACGAAAGAATATTGTGAAATTCACGACTATTAGGAAAGCACAGAAATTGTCCGTTATTGCGGAACCGTCAATATACCGATGTTAACAGCAAAAGAGGTAGACGAGTAGAGCAGCAAATTCGCCCAACTCGCCAACCTTACCTACTAATCCTTTCACAATTAGGCCTCTTTTAGATCATACTGAACAGTGAGTGCGGTGATCGAGGCTGTGGTTGGGGCGGTCGTGGCAGGACAATTAGTGGTCGCACACATTTGCAGTCATGCACAAATATGTTCCCGAAGTCGTGACATTGTCCGCACCTGTACAAATATTTTTGAAAATACAACAGCTATAAGTGAGATGAGATGTGGGGACAGGGTACAGCATCGGGATGTGTGAAATGGGGGGGGGGCGTGGTACGACTTCCCCCTCCCTAAGGGGGTCCCGGCCAGGAAAACGCCATCGTTGTGATGATCACAACGGGGGGGGGGGGGTCGTACTTGACCGCGAGGGAGTGGGGTGGTGGGGGGTCGTATTTGGTCCGAGAAAAGTTTTTTGGTAGTTGATTTCTCTTGTTTCACGGACGCTATGAGGGGGGGGGGAGGAGTCGTATTTGGCGTTGTTGACCTCCCCCCCACTCGACAGCAAAAGTTTGGGGAAAACCAGAAGGAAATTCCGAAAAAACTGGTAGAGGGTCAGGGAAAATCTGGGAAATTTTCCTGTTCGAAGGCAATGGGTCATATAAGCCCTTTCTTCCCGCCGCCCCCCCCCCTCCCCAACGCTCGACGGGACAGTCTTGTCCAGACGGAAGATTTCTCCCGGAAAAAATGGTAGGAAAGCTGGGAAAATCCAGGAAATTGCTAGCAGGCATGGGAGGGGGGGAGGTGTATTGAGAAGCAGAAATCACAGACAATAGGGAGGGATCGTATTTTTAGGAAAATCACAACGCGATGGCATGCTCTGATCCCAGTACGACTCTCCCCCAGTTCTGACTGTTGGCTGCAACGAAATGGATAAAACACGACGCGCTCGTAACCGCCTTTTGGTTCCAGCGCAAATGCACCGGAGCAGACTTGCTGGTAGGTGAAACATAGCGGAACACTTTTGGGATTGGCAACTTTTTCAGGTTCGGAAATTTCGGGGAATTGAAAACGGCTTCTTGAAACAAGCTCTATTGTTGCGTTTCCTCACTGCCAGTAATCCGATTATTTCCATTTTTTAGGCACCATTGCGTGGTTCAGATGGTTAATGGCAAATCGGCACCGAGTCTTGCTTTGGATACACTATAATTTTCGGCATACGCGTTTTCCCTTCACTTCTTTCATTTCATTGGAGAATACTCTAGGAACTTCGACATGTCATCAAAACACAACGTTTTAATAGAACTGAGCTCAAGCGCAGGCTCGATGATCATAAAATCGATTTGGCCTGAATATGCGGCGCATGATTGCGGCTCGCCACGGCAGAGGTGTGGAATGTGTTCATTCAAGCGGTTCCGGGAACGATCGATACAAGCGAACCTAAGCTCGTATAGCGTAAATTAGAATTAATGTTATACATCTATAGGGTCTTAGTTATTTTCTTAATATTTCATAGTGTTCCACACATCTGCGTTCCCTGCAGCGTTGGCTCCGCTCCACAAAACGCGAGCGATGGCACTTTTGCGATGTTCGGTGCTCACCAACCTCGCGTTCACGACCCCCCCCCCTCCTTCAGATACGACCTCGATGGGTTTTGCACAATGATGGTGTACCCTGTGGGGGGAAATTTGAAAACGAGAACAAAACGTTTACCATCCGATATTAAACACGTCTTTGCAAGTGTTTGTCAGCCAGTCAAATCCACATCCTAACTGCTCGAGGGAGGAGTTCGCTGCCTGTGCGTTGATGATCTGAATTCATAAGAGATTGGAAATTTGTGTTCAAAGAATAAAAGTACCAGAACTAGTATTGAGTAGAGGCGATCACTTTATAAACCATTGGATCAAGAAGAACCAGCATACGGGGATTCAACCTTCGTACCGTCTAGTCAAAATTCAAACCCTCTGGGCTGATCTAGTAGGCTCTGAGGCTGTCGGACGAAGAAACTCATCGACAGTCGCATTAAACGACTGCAATTGCAATCAGACCACGTCGTACATTGGGGAATCCCCAGCGGGGGGATCGCGTTTGGCCTGGAGGTGGGGTCGCTGAGCGAAATTTGCGGTCTTGAAAAAAATTTTTCCGGTTGTTGAGTTTTCGCGATTTTTCCCTTTCGCATGTGCTTTGTACCCCGCGTAGCTGGTGGCGCCGCGAAAGTTCGATGCAATTACCATTTCTGACAGTTGAAACTAGTAGTTGGTTGCTGACGTTCCCCCCCCCCCCCATGTGCTCATCAGCAAAATTTTGGGGAAAAACTAGAGAAGTTTCTGGGGATTCCGAAAAACTGGAAAAGTTGTGGGAATTCTGAAAATTTAGGAAAGTGCTAGGTAGGATGGGGGAGGGTCGTATTTTCCAAAACGTTCCTCCAAGGGCAGACGTGCCCTGATTGCAATAAGTCGCGGGTAAAAGGCATAGCAATGCAACGGTAGTGACGCGATCGAATGAATTAAAGGCAGTTGGCACGATAAATCCCCCGAAAAGAGTAGGATTAACACGTTGACGACAATCGCGTTTTGCGGGAGAGCGCCAGACAATGGCGTGCAATGCGTCCGCCCCGAACCACCGGTGGCTCATATTGTCCCTCGTGGACCACTTTTTTGCCGCTATGTCAAATTTCGCAAAATGATAAGTCAATCGTGTAGGGACTGCTATTTCAACCATCTCTGACCCTATTGGATGCCATCTCATGCCCCGCCCTCTGCGATCACGCCCACTTTCTAGCGCGATCGTGATTTCCAAAATGTGTACCATAACTTGCGTTTCTAAGAATTTTCTTGGAAGTTTCACTTTTCACACATTACAATGATTCATAGATGGTCACACCGACACATAGCCGGCCACGCCCACTTTTTAATAGGTTT